TAAAAAAAAAATGTTATGAAATATATTTATACATATCTATTAAAAGATGAGATAGAAATTTACTTTTCTCTCCCTCTCCTTTCCGTAGATTTGTTAATGTAAATAATTTGTTCTATAATGATTATTATTTTCTCTCTTACTATGTCAACGATATTTTTGGTCAAATGATTATTGTCTTTGCAAAAAATAAATCATTCGTTCACATGAGAGTTATTTTAAAGAAAAAACAATTTTTATCTCATCCTGTATTTTTATATTTTTATATATATATATATACATGTATGTATGTATTTATATATATACATGTATAGAAGTACTATTAGTAGTAGTGTATGCACATAGGTGATTTAAAAAAAGGTCGGTACGGGTGTTGCTACGCGATTCGTGACCGAACTACCGAATTATTGATTTTCTTACTCATCGACGTTTACGGTGTCACCATCGAAAAGACTATTCTCATACAATAGCCTACAGTTTTTCATACTTGGCCCTTCATCCCCCCCCACCCTCGCCCCTACCACCAACTTCTTCTTCCATTTATTTAACGTTAAATTAAGAATCATTATTATATCCTTTTTTTTTTATATATATAATATTATATCCTTTTTTGGACCTCGGTATTTGTTAAACGATTATTTTAGCCTCCTTATAATGAGCTTTCATAATTTTCTTTTTTTTCTCATTTAAAATGACGATTCCATTTGTGTGGAACTATATATATTTTATAAATTATACTTATTTATTACCAATTTCGCATATGTTCATTTTTATTCACTTTTTCTTTTTTTTTTTTTTTTAGTTTACGTATCTTTTCAATGAACGTTACCACATATATATATATATGTATTTTTTTTTGGTCTTATTATATTATAAATAAATCTTTGTTATTTTTATGATAGATTTTTTGTTTTTGTTTTTAAGTGAGAAAAAGTAATAGATCATCCCACGCGTAGGTAGCCAAGCGTTTCGCAAAATACTTTCTTTACCATAATCCATTATTATTCTTCGACGTGACAAATAAATTATACAAAGTGAGATATTTTCAATCAAACTTTTTATACGTTTTACCATCGGTTACCGATATCGTTAATAATCGTTTTTCTCTAATATGCATGGCGTCGTGCATCTTGCATATCAAATCGTTCGAAAAATCGAATCGTAGAACACAACAACGAGTCTACTCTTTTCCGTTCCAACGTAAAAATACTTCGTTTGCGTTTATTTTAGGGGGCAAACGATTTTTTTTTCTTTTTTATCTCATCCCGTATAAATAAATTCTTCTACTTCTTATACTTTTTGTTGTTGTTATTGTTTCTCTCTCCCTTTTTTGTTCTTCTAATCAATCAATCTATTATTTTGTACGTCGCCAAACGATTTCTTTTTTTTTTTATCTTTTTATTTTATTACTTTCTTTCGATTTTTTTACTTTCACATATAGTCACGAGAGAAAAAGTTATTTCTAACTTTGTTATTTTTTTTTCTTTTTTTTTTGGGGAGGGAATTTTCTTTATCGTAACGAAGAAGAGAATACAATCACGATTGTTTTTTTCTAATTATAATCAAGAGTTCACGTATTTCTGGGTCGTTTCATCACGACATTATGATATATTCGTAGAATCATAAAATAGAATTATAGTTTGAGAAGAGAGAAAGAGCATATATTTTTATATATATTTATTATTATATTGACACACTCACATAACTGACATCAATCAATTTTCATTACTTTCTTTTTCTTTTTCTGTTTTCCTTTTACATCTTTTTCTCTCCTCTATAATTAAAGTTACATAAAATAATAATAGGAACATTTAAGCGGCATTTAAATGTTTTCATTGATTTTTTAAATTAAAGATATTATTATACAGATACATATATTACACGTTTATATCATACATTGGACGTTGTTTGTGAAAATTCTTCGATCAAAAAGAATTTCATTTCTTTTTTTTTCTTTTTTCTTTTTTCTATTAAACTAAACATGAGAGAGTTACAACACCACATTAGAGCAGTCGGTTTTATTTGAAACGTTATTAACAATTACGCCGTTTATAATGTTGAACCTTTCAAAGGAGATTGATGATCTCTTGTCGCACAATTATTATTCATTTTTTGGATAAGCGTAATAAGTTTATTACCGATAGTGTCTACAAATTAAAAAGATAAAAATCAAAATCAAAGTAGAAATATAAACAAACGTATAAAAAAACAAATATATATATATAATTCGATCATTTTAAAATCAATAATATATTAATCATATTTTAAATATATATAAATATTCTCGGGAATATATGCGATAGGCGTACGAAACTAACTTTTTTTTTTATTGACAATCCTTTTATTGCTTCTAACTCGTTCGGGAAATTAACTAATTTTGTTTTATTTAATATAATATATAATAGGTTAAATATATTCTTTTCGAAGGATTTTTTTCTTTCCTCCCTCCCCCTACCCTTGCTCATATTAATAAGACGTAGATTCATTCGTAATATCGAAGAATAATGATCGAAAAGACAACAAAAACAAAAAAAAAGGGTCAAAAATTGACATCACGTATTAATTAGCCATTGAATGTTTTTTTTTCTTTTCTCTTTACGTTTTTTTTTCTTTTTTTTTCTTTTTTTTTTTTTTTTTTTTTTTTTTTTTTTTTTTTTTTTTTTTTTTTTTTTTTTTTTTTTAAGTAGGCTCGTCTCGATGTCGATTTCTCGTAACCGATTCTCATTGACCTCGTTCATTCGACGAAGAAACGGAAGTTCGTGACGTCGGTGAACGGTTAGGGTCTCGTGAAGCGATATCGGTATGGAGTCCAGTTGAATAATTCTATAGAAAATAAATATTTCATATATATATATATATAATATATAATTATGAACGAAAAGGGGTGTTATACAAATGTTTCGTTAACGTAACGCACGTTATTCGATAAATTTTAGCGTTCGTCAAAATGATTAGCCATGCAAGATCATTTGTTTGTTTTGTTTTTTTTTTCTTTTTTCTTTTTTTTCTTTCGAAGACGAAGATGATGAAGATGATGATGATGATGAAGAAGAAGAAGAAGAAGAAGAAGAGGAATAAATTGTTCAAAACATTGGATCTTAATAAAACGAGATATTTCAATAACGATAACGTGCAATCTGAATATTATTACTGATAAATATATCTTGGTTCTGGTGAATTATATCGTACGATGCGTGTTCAACATACAACATTATCTTTTTTTTCATTATGGTCCCTGATACAATAGTATATATAGATATATATGTAATATATATTATGTGTAAATATATGTAAATATATTATTTATCTTTTCAAAATTATTATATTATTAATATATTTCGCATTTATTTATTTATATTTTTATATAATCAAATTGTTTCATCGTTATCAAATTAAAATTCATTATATTTTCGTCGATATTTTGTTTCTTTCCTTTTTTTTGTTGAACCGATTTAAAAAGTCATGACACATCATCGATTGTAATTCGATTAAAAAAATATTCGATTAATAATGTAACTTGATATCGATTGGATTTTACAAATAATCTCTCCTCTCTCTCTCTGCATACACACATACACACACATTCATATACATGCATATATACACACCCTCTCTTTCTCTCTCTCTTTAAATAACCGTTCGATAGTTCGAGTACTCAGCAGCTTCCACTTTATTCTACCACGGTGGTACACATCCCATTAACGATATGGTTTATCGTTATCGTTATATTACGAGGAGCACGCGTAATATGTTTCATACGTTATCTGTTACGTTATCAAAGCCATAAACTTGTCCGAACAGATTTTGCTTCCTACTTGGTGGTACGGATTACAAAAAAATAAGATTAACAAAAAAAAAAAAGAAAAAAAAACAAAAAAAAAGGGAACACCATATAGTACCGCTAAATTATAACGTGTACGAAATCTCATCCCCGATAAAAAAATAAAGAAAAAGAAACGAAAGGAACATCACCCAACGAAAAATTCAAAAAACGATAATATATACTATTTATTATTATTATTATTATTAATATTATTCATTGGCAAAAAAAAAAAATAAAACGATACGATGATATATAGATAGGAGAAAAAAAAAAGGAAACCAAAAAAATTCGTTCACACGTTTATGACGATGCAACTACATGACCACGACATATCTACAAATGTATGACCTTGTTATGTATGTGAAAATTAATCAAATAAAAAATCTATATATACGAGGGGGGGGGACTAGCATAAAAGTGCATTGAAACGTGTTACTTGACAATTTTCTATGAACTCGTGTTGATTGTTATCACGATTTATGGGCGATCATTATCGTATATCTACTAACTTACTTACTTACTTGAGACTCTTAAGGAGAGACGAGGAAAAGGGGGGAGGGGGAGGAGTAGGAGGGAGTGGAGAAACGATGTGACAAAGATGCGATGGTGAATGAGGGAACATAGATAAAGAGAAGGAGAGGAGAGGAGAGGAGAGGAGGGGAGAGGGGAGGGGTGGGGAGGGTAGGCTTTCTGTCTTCTTTGACGTCGTTATGAAACGTGTATGTTCGATCTTCAACCGATGTCCCTGACGTTAACGTTATACGTTTTTTTTCTTTTTATTTTTTCCTGTTTTTTTTTTTACGGTAGAGTTTACTGAATGCATTTTTTTTTCTTTTTTTTCTCCTATCTTCATCCACTTTCCATCGCAAATAAATATCCTAGAATCGATTTCGTTATAATCGATAATACAAAAAAAAAACCCCCACGTCTAACTAAAGTACATACAAACACACGCACGCACGCACGCACATACATACTCGCGACTACGTGTGTCCCCCACCCCCTCCTCCTCGTCGTCGTCCTATCAAAGTGGACGAATAAATAAATAAATAAATAAATAAATAAAAAACTCTTGGTCAAAAAGATGAAAAAAAAAGACAAAAAAAAATATTGTAATAAAAGTACAAGAACGCGATGGTGGGTTTCATTTAAATAATCGATTTTGCTCAGGTTTTGTTTGAGTCACCGGTTGAAAATCGAACTGAAGTTTTCGATAATATCGATCGATCGAAGGATGCGGGAAAAAGACAAAGAATCCGTGTGTTGATGATCATCTTCGATGATGTATTGATGGTGGTGTTGATGGTGGTGGTGGTGGTCTTGCCGATGGTTTGTTATTGCCGATGATGCGATTATGACGTGGTGGTAATGACGAAATGATGAAATAGCAAGAAGATGCAAGGATGCACTATATGATGATTAACGTCAAATAGGGCTCTGAATTGGCAGTTTCGAGTTAAGTAATTAGCGTTTACTATAAACGCCATACCAATCTCGGTCTACGATTTACCATTGTTGCTGAAGCACGGACATAGTGCGTTCAAAATTCGATTGCAGAAGCCACGGGCACGGTTGTTCCAGCCGGCGATGGTTTTGCCTCCTTTCAAACTACTGCCTGTGCACACATTTTTTTTTACTTTTTTTTTTTTTAATGCAAATCAGCATTTAACGCTAGAACCGCATATAGATTTATTTCATTAATTAAATCTTATTTTCTATATTAATATAATTGGGGATAAAACGATATTTATTTAATTTCTAGACAAATTTCTTATTTAAATTTATCAATTCAACGTTTATCGAATATAATTTTAATTATATTGTTTTTTTGGGGGGGGTTTCAAAGTCGTTATTTGTATTATTTTATATTTTATTATTAATAATAATGATATTAATTTTTTTTTTGCATATTTATTCGCGACCGGTCAGTAATGTTTTAACGTATCCCTTTTTTTTTTGCTCCCATAATCAGTGAAAATAACACGAGTTGCGGTGTAGATTTTATTTGAAAGAAAAAAATTAGTCACTCGGATTGGTTCAGTAGTTTTAGCGTTAAATGGGGAAAGGGTTGCTAGCTTAAAAGGGTTGCGTCACAAAGTTCGGGGAAAATGCTAGCTGCCACGGTTCTATCTTACGCTCTTTCTCTCTTTTTTTTTTCTATTTCGTATGCCAACAAAATTTACCGATAAATTCAAAAATGTAATCATAAATTTAGGCTTACTAGCATCCTAACGTGTGTTTCAAATCCTAATGTATATTCAATTTAAATGTTTTTTCAATTTAAATAAATACCAAAGAAACAAAAAGAAGAAAAAAAAAACTACATAAAGGATAGCAGAAAAAAATGAGGCGAATTTATGTTACGACCTAACGTATACTGAAACGTAAATTTAAAGTATCTTTCTCTTGAACTTTTTCATTCCTTGTATTCGAAAAATACAAAGTTAATTTAGTTTGAACCAGTTTCGTACTTACTTTCGCCAAAGTCACCTCCCTGAAAAATTGTATTGATTATTCAAGTAAAATTCTAATTTGAAAGACGTTAAAAAGTCAATAACCACGTAAATTATGTTTCAAAGTATAAAGTATAAAGTAAACTTTTGTACACGGGTAACGTAAAGAAAAGTTTTTTTTAAGGACTTTTACAAAAAAAGAAAAAAAAACAAATCCACAAATAAAAAAAAAAAGAAATGGTAGAGACTGTGTCATAGTTGTAAGATAAAAACCAAGTGTGATTTTGAATTGAAATATATTTTCTTTACCTCATCTTGTTGCTTCCTTTTGGAAGCTTCCATGGCCGCTGTCTCGATAACCTCCGTAACGAATTTCGTCGTTTCCCTCATGAGTTCCTCGTCCTCTTTAAAAGCTTCTTTTCTTTGTTCCAACGTCCCGGTCATGATATTTATTTCGTGTTCATCCATCGTAGGTGATTTAAAGGATAAATTTGTGTTCTCGGTCATTATAATAATTAAAAGTTTTTACTTTGTTTGTCCTAAAACGTGTACTCTCTCTCTCTCTCTCTCTCTCTTTCTCTCTTTCTCTCTTTCTCTTTTTAAAAATCTTATATCTTTAGATCGTTTTAATCCTTTGTAACCAACGAGGATTTCCTTCATTCCTCATCGTTCAAATTTGTATTCATTTTTCTTCTTCTACAACGATATCCTCCTAACTAAAAGTAATGGAACAAAAAAAGAAGAAAGAAAGATGATGATAAAATATAAAACAATTATTGATAGTATTATTTACTAACAAGATATTTTCTATAAAAATGTTTTGACTACAGATTTGTGTAAATCTTTCTGCACGTTGTATCGTATTTTAATTGCGTTAAAATCGTTCCGTACGTTTATAATATATATTATCTGCACGCGAATTTTCAATAAGTATCACGTTACACCTCGTAGTGTTATTTAAAAGTGTTTCTACGCGATTGTGTGCAAGGTCGTTATTTACACAAAAGGCTTTTACACACTTATATACAATGTACGTTTGCACGTATTTAATAATGTCGTATATTCTTGTGGGCAAGATGCCAATGTGAGAGAAGAATTTATTTCAGAAAAGAAGTCAAATTAAACGCACGAGTTTAAAAGGAAAAAGAAAAGAAAAAAAGAGGGTCAAGAGAATAATTTGAATATTTCATCGAATTCCAACAACTTCCTTTTTTTTTAATAAATGCATTCTAAAAAGAATCTAACGTACGTCGGAAATTTTATTTTATTCGCGTCTTTTTAAGATTATGATAAATAGTAATTCGAAACACACGTAGGTGTATCAAGGATACAAAGATTGCTTATATACACCTATGGAAACGTTTGTATATATTTAATGGCAACAAATTCTATTCTATTTCTATCATTCAAATTGATAATAAAATAAAACAAAATATGACTATAATAATAAACATTGCATACGGTAGGATAGCAAGAGAATATCATCGATTTTCGACGTACACGCGTCGTTACGAATAAATCTTTAGAACAGAATTACAACAATAGAACCTGTGGTAGGTTTGTTAGTTTATTCCAAAAGAGAATGAAATGTTCACTAATGTAAGAACTCGTACCAATTTCTGGTTGCACGCGAGGAAACAAATGTTCCACAGGTGGGCACGCGGTTTCTTCTTCGAGAAGCATGTAACCGTGCGCGAGGCATGTTTGATCGTGACTGTTCTATGCTGATTGTATCTTATGACAAAAGCGTGCTCTACGGATCTGCCTTCTCTAACTTGAACGATATGCTTACGGTGGAAGTATAGAACCACTAATCATTTACCACCAACAAGTAGAACACTCTCACACTACCACTCCCAAAAAAATCCATCCGAGGAACCCTCATCCCATAGTTTGCCTTGTTGAACCCTCCTCCTATAGCTAACGTGTCATTGGCGCAACGTAAAAGAGTTTACATTTTTCTAATCGTTAACATCCATTAAAACAAATCTAAATCGAAATTCTACTTGTATTTTTTTCCTTTACTATTGGTCTTGTGTTAAATAATACTAATGTTGATCGATTATCTCTTTCTAGAAAATCCTACCAAAGTTCAAAGGACGTTACGGTCCCCGGGCTACGGTACACTCCGGTAACGATCGACCACCTGCGGCCCTCTTCTACGTTAGCCTGGCTTACTCGAGCGAATATTAACCCCAAGCCCCGAACCTTGTTGTGTCAGCTAAGGAGCATGCGCCTTCACGACGCGCCGGCGCATCTTATCCTTCTCCCACGCTACCTATTCACTTATTTATATAGTAAATATATGCATACGTGTGCATGTGTTTCTCACTCACTTTCTCTAGCATGTACAGGTAATTATAACAACGGACAAAGTCAAAAAATACAATTACTTGTGATATCAAATAAATCAAACAATTCATTTTGTTCTATTTTTTTGGACTTGGTCAAACATAATTACCAGTACACTCACGTATCTTTCTTCGTGTATAAAAATTATACACGTAAAACGACGTTTTTTAAATCGCTTACATAATCTTCAATGATCCAAACGGACGAGGGATAGTAAAGCGATGAAAAAAAAAGTCATCTATTTCCTCTTTGTTTTCTTCTTCCTTTTCAATAGTTGCCGTTCGCGATACGATCTCCATGTTCTCTGAATGATTTTAGCTGCATGATTCTGTTTAAAATTGGTCACTCTTTCTAAAAATGCTGTCGCTATTGATTTTTCTTGTTCTTCCTTCAAATTATTGTACAATTCGTTTTGACTTATAAAACGCGTCTATAAGAGAATATAAATAAATGGTTTTTGGAATTATGAAATTAATTAAAAAATAATTGTATGAATATTAATAATAATAATATTAATTGATATTTATACGTACATGAAGTTCATGTTGTTCTTCTTTAAGAATATTATTTTTGATTTTCAGCTTTTCTAATAATTGATGTTTAGTGCCAATTACTCGATCGTACTGTGCTAGTAATTCGATAGATTTGTTTTGTATCTGCGAACTATATAACAATGATATTTTAATGTATTGTTAATCAAGTGATTCAATAAACAAAACAAAAAATGGAAATGAATATGTAAATGAATATGCACCGTATTGCTTGTAATTCCTTCTCTCGTGCGGCATTTTCAGCATTTATCAATTTGATTTTTTCATCGAAAGAAACAATTTCTGCTTCAAGTAATTCCATTTTATTCTGGTACTCTTTGCAAGTAGCCATCCTTTTATATTCAGATTTTTTTCTGTAAAACAAAATCAGGTTTGTTGGTGTTAAAATATAAATATATAATGCATTAAATAGAAAATTATAATGAAAAGTTCAATACATATTATGACAATATATTAATAAATATTATATTATGTAATATGTTTAAAATAATCAATAAAATAATAAATAAAAAATTAAATAAAAGTAAAAAGTCGGTACATCTCTTCGGCCATTTTATTTTCCGCCATTTTTTTAATAGATCGAATAATCGATTCTTCTTTCGCGATATCGATAATCGTTTCTTCTTTAAACTTCTTGAAATTCAATGTTTCTTCTTCCAACGAATGGCGTAACACTAAAAAGCAAAAGAAAAAAAAGTATTATTTAGAAATAATGAAAGTAAGTTAATAATCGTAAGTGCAAAGATAATATGTATCTTAATATGTAAATTATCTTATCATCGTTTATCTAATTTCTACCACGGATGCAATCCTTGCGCGAACGATAATTTTAAGTGTCGTATAAATTTGAAACTATTATTTGTATGTATTCGTTTTTATATTTTACATTCGATATCCTTCTCTGCCATTTTTAAATCGTTTTCGTAGGAGCGTATTTTAATTTTGTTCATGCGTTCAATCATAGGCGTAGTTCGCATTTCTTTTTCGATCAATATTTTGAACAGATTTAGATCGTCAATTAATTTTGTCAACGTCAAATATCCCTGTTTTACGAATAAAATATTTATGTACGAAATGTGATAACAAAATAAAAAAAAATAAAAAAAGAAAAAGAAATGTTACCATGGCTTCTATTTTTTTCGTAAATTCCGTAAACAATTGAACCATTCTTTGTATCGCTATTTCATTTTGCGCATGTAAATCCATATCTGTAAAGTATGTAACTACACACTCACAAACCAATATACCGTATATATTTATGCACACATATAATCTATATCGTCTCAAAAGTCTGATAACAATAAGCTATCCGTTAATTATAGCAGATACATAATAATTTGAAACGCATTTAACTGCCTACGTTTGTGATAACTAAAGCAATAAGGAATTAACTTAAGAGGCTTTATTTACGTTTCTATGGCATCTATTCTCACTGGCAACGCGATATGACCTTTCATGAAAAAAAAGAAACCGTGTCAGTCGTAGAAAACGTCTCGTTTGAAATAAATTCTCTAATTAGTTTTAATTATTATCGTCTGAATGCGTTTCGCTTGGTAAAAAATTTACGAAATAATTCATTAAATTAGTTTTCGTTAAAAAAATTGTAATAATAATATTATTTAATAATTTATTCGAATATATAAAATAGAATATTTATTGTTGTTGGTATTTATCGTTTGAACTTGACTCACGTTTTATTTAGGTACAGCAGCGCTATCTATATGAGATTAACATAAGTTAAATGTCGGATATTTCTTACATTTTGATAAAAGCATATGATTGGTCGAGAACTGGGCGGTAAACCAATCAAACCAGATGCGCGTCTCTGCGAAATGCGTAAAAAAAAGGTGCACACATGCGTCATATTCTATGTGTGTATTATATAAAAGTATTATATTCGTTTACGTCTAGCACATAGTACACACTGAAAGATATTCATTAAACGACAAAGATGGCGTACCGCGGTGTTAAAGGTTCCGATCCGTTTGTATCAAAAACTTCGAGAAATGAACGTTTTGCGCAAATGTCGAAACAAGAACAGATTATACAACAAAAGAAATTGGAAATCCAAGCTAAGTTGCAAGAACAAAAAGCAAAGGAAGCCGTGGAAAATGTCAAAAAATCTAATTCGCTTGGCCTAACTTCGACAGCTAACAAAGCTACCACATCCAAGTGGGTATTTGACAATCTCTATTCCTTACATCTTAACGAGAAAGATGTTTTTTGTTTATTCGATCAACGTTTACTATACTCCGAGTATATTTATTTGATTCGTATATTTTATATTTTTTATATTCTATTTTTCTGTTTAATAAACGTTATGCAGCAAATGAGTTCAATCAAGAATCACATTATCGTTTGAACTCGGTTATTGTCTGTATTGAATCTCCAGTTTGATTTTGTTTTAATTTCTTTACAATTGTTACTTTTGAATTTTACCTTTCCATTTATATATGTATGTATACGCGTATATCATTTAATTGAAGGAAACTCAGTAATAGTATTAAATATACATTTTAACACAAAATAGTAACTTGGATATCATTGGAAACTGTGTGTATTAATATTTAAAGTCAAAGTTAATTAAGTTAGTTTGTAGAAAGAAGTACATTTGATACTGCCATTGCATTATAAATAGATATCAAGTATTGCATCTGTTTATTTATAGGAAGGAGGACGAGAAGTCATCTACGTCTGTGACAGTTAATTTGTTTGCCAATGATGGTAGCTTTCTTGATCAATTTAAAAAAATTGCTAACAATAAAGGAACTGGAAAACAAGCAGAATCTAGCCAATCGAAAAGTGAAGATAAGAGGGAAGAAAAAGTAGAAGAAAGAAATTATGATAATAGAGAAAAAGAACGTGATAGAAAGTGGAGTAACGAAAAGAACAGAGATTGGGAAAGCAAAAGAGACAGAAGAAGAAACGACTCCAGATGGGGAAGAAGTTCTGACAGAAGACACAGTTCATCGTCTAGTCCATCTCCTACCAGGCATAGATCTTCTTTAAGTCCTGATCCCCGATCAATGTACAATCAACCTCCTCCGAATGGACCACGACCACATTTTAATCAACAACAATATCCTCCTCAAAGTAACACTCAAAGTTCATCTATACCTCCTCTGATGTCTCAACCTGTGATGCAAATGACAAACATTCCTCCACCTAACATGAGGGCTATGGCAACGAATATTCCACCTCCTAACATCCCTAGAATGCCCCCGCCAAAAAGTGTTAACAATAATTATTCCAATGTGGATAATCATTCTAATAATCCTAGAATGCAGATTCCACCACCGCATATTATAAGGCCTCCACCACCGCCTATACAAAATATTCCGCCAAACACCAACGTACCTCCACCGAATATGCAAGTTCCACAGAATATGCCTATGACCAGCATACAAAACTTGCCACCGTCGTCTACTTCACAACAACATATTATTCCTCCTCCACAGCAATGCAATATACCACCACCTACTAATTTACAACCTCCAAATATTCCTCCACCTAACATCCCGCCACCTAACATGTTACCTCCAATGTCCCAGATGCCTCCAAATATGATGCCTATTACTTCCTCTCAAACAATTGTTGTAACAGTACCTAGTGTACCAAATGTACCTCCTCCTAATGTGATATCTTCAATGATAATGTCTGCGCCTCCTCCAGTTCATACTGTTCCATCTACTATTAATTCTGTACCACCTCCAAACTTGAATATTCCACCTCCAAATGTTCCACCACCTACGATAATACAGAATGCACCACCACCGCCACCACCTCACTTGATTCCAACTTCCTATCCGATACCTAATCAAGTACCAATCACAGTGGGACCACCTAATGTTCAAATTCCACCACCTGTGAGGCCACCAGCTAATCTACAGAGCAACAACGAACAACTAGGTATGATGTGCTTATAATACCCTATTTTTGTTTATTTGCTTCACCAACTACAAGCATCGTAGCAATTATTGTAAATGATGTTTTACAAGTCATTAAGATCATAAAATATTATCAGTAAAGATACCTTTTATACGACATGAATTTAGATTATCATAAAGGAAATCTTCATCATCATATATAGTAAGAAATATGCATGAAGAGCATTAGAATATTATAATACATGTCTGACAAGAGCTTCTAAGTTTGTCCCATAGAAGCTGAGCAACTGGCACGCATAGTCGCTGATTGTGGAGACGAAATAGAGCAAGAAGTACGAGAGAAGAATGCCCAAGACCCTAAATTATGGTAACTACTGTCCTCACTAGTCTTTATTTTTTATATCCGTTTTCCTACTCCTTCTATGTATATGTAACGCGTATATAAATTATTTGACAGTCTTGAGAATATTATTAGTTAATTATATATATTGCTTAATATATATTTTTAATTTTTTTTTAAATATTGTTTTTCAACTTAATACATATATATATATATATATCAAATGATTATATACAACCCGCAGTTCCTTTGAAATGTGTGTTGTTGCAAGCAAAACAGAGTCACAGTCTTGCATTAGTCTAGCATGTTCTATAAGGAGCATTTTTTAAATAATGTATTTTTTTATATTTTCATTACATCAATATTTAAAGAATTCTAAACTTCTTGATCTTCATTAATAAAATACCGTTTTTATTTAGATCAAAAAATTTCTAATATAGTTTATATTAAAACAATATTAGAATTTAGTCGTTATATTGATTTGCAGAAATTTTATGATAATGCATCCACCAATGTCCCGTCTGTTATCCACTTATATTGTAATTTAGATGATTAATTTCGTAGTGCTCAGAATCTAATATCTTTATAACTTACAGCATATTATTTATTTGATAGCAGATTTATAATATCGTTTATATTGTTTATACCAAGATTGATTCTATAAGAATGCTAACAGTGCTTTAGACTTCATGTTTTTTTTCAGAAATACCATTAAATATAATAATCTCTTTGTAAGCATTTTCATGCTGTTAGTACCTATAGTATAATGCATATAAACTGTCTCTAACCATATAGTGTAAATAATGCAACAAACACATTCTTTTTGACGCTAATCTGACTTCCATACTTATTTAACCTTTTACATGCAACAGGTATAGATAAAAATCGTTTTGATCATAGTCGATTAGAAATTTGTCCGCTCGTTTTGAGAGTTGCTTAGAATTTCATTAAAATATTTTCATTCTGGAAGCACTTTGTCTAGGAATATATCTTACTTGGCAGCGTTTTAAGTATTGTTTTAATCAAGGTTTCTGCATCAAAAGCAAAGTGCAGCGTATCTGCAGTACAGGGGATTGGTGGCTAAGTTTCGTGCTGGAAAAACAGATAAAGACGCTAAGAGTAGTGGAGCGGAGCCTTATTGTCCAGAAGAAGCTCTTAGCGACAATGATGAAACAGATAAAAATCAGAAACATAGTTCTCAAAATGGTACATTATTATCATTTCTTTATAACACTTTTTTTCTTTTCTCTTTTATAAGAGAGTATTGGTATAATAATATATTCCATTAAATAGAACGACCGAAAGAGGAAAATAGAGAGGAACGTAAAAGGAAAAGGAGAAGTCGTTGGAGTGAACCGGATAATAAGATTCCTATTGCAGATATAAATGCAATAACCACTCAGAGAACTCGACCTAGTATTGCGCAACCTGGAGTAGCTATACCAGGTCAAATTGGCCAACCAGCTGTAATTATACCGCCGAAAATACAGCACAATAAACCAAAGAATCCAATGCTTACCAAGATATCCAGAAATGATCCTGCATTGATGCAATATGCGAGGCAAACCTTTGGTACATTGGATCTTAGCGAAGAACAATGGAAAAAAGCTGAGGACCATTTCAAGGTCATTACTATAACGAAAACGAATGATAATATATCTTTAACAACAAAACTATCTGTATGATTATAATTATTTATATCCTTACAGATTAATCTTTTATACCAAAATTTATTAAGGAAAAGAGAAGAAGTGAAACGATTAGAAGCTCAGGGTAAACACAAGTATGAGTATGATAGCGACGAAGAAACTGAAGGTGGTACTTGGGAACATAAGTTAAGATCCGCCGAGATGGAAGCTACACAAATGTGGGCCGAAGAGTTAACTGCGCAAGCTGAAGGAAAACATCATATCGGTGACTTTTTACCTCCGGATGAATTAAAAAAGTTTATGGAACAATACAATGCCGTTAAGCAAGGCAAAGAACCAGATCTTAGCGATTACAAAGAATACAAATTAAAAGAGGATAATATTGGTATGTTCTTATTATTATTTCTTTACTAGCTATAGATACATTTTTATTATGAACCATGATGTTTGTAGGGTTTCAAATGCTTCAGAAGCTTGGCTGGAGTGAAGGTCAAGGTTTAGGTAGTGAAGGCAGTGGTCGAATCGAGCCTGTTAATAAGTATGTTTTTTGCTTTATCGTATTGTAACGATGTATATGTTATTAATAAAATAACATTTATTTTAGAGCTACTAATAGACTTGACAGCGCTGGTTTAGGATCTGAAAGACCGGATGGTGTTTCAAGAGATGACGACGAATTTGATGCATATAGAAAAAGAATGATGCTTGCTTACAGATTTAGGCCTAATCCTTTAGTAAGTATGATAGATTTGCAATATGATGTTTGGGAGAACAAGAAATACATTATATTAAATATGTTTTTATTATTTAGAACAATCCTAGAAGACCTTATTATTAAATAATAAGTAAAGATGGAATGGACTGTATTTCTATAAAAGCCTCAGACGAGAAAAGTCTTTTTTAATTTAATATAGAAAAAAAAAAATCATTGTTATTTTGTATATCTACAATGGCGTGATATATAAAATATTAGGTGTAGCAATGAATTTGGTGCCATTTTAAGATATTAAACGTTTATTTACAAAGTAATCGTACGTCTGTTATTCTTTGTGTAATAGTATTCATTATTTTCATTTATTTTACTTCATTTTTCAGACAACTGTCGAATTCTTTGAAAAATACAAGATATCGATTTTAATGTTTTTTAATTTAATATCAAGGCACCGAATTAATTCTTACATCTAATAATCAAAAATATTATAGATGGTAAACATTATTATTAAATTCAAATAAGATATTGCGTCGTTAAATAAAATATATAAAAGAAGCAATCGTTTATATCTTCATTAATATTAATCCTTGAATTTTTAGTCATTAATTTATATATTGTAATTGATTATATTATTTAACAGTTATGTGTGTGTGTATATAATATATATATATATATATATATATGATACATAAAAAGGTTCAGGATGACGATTTCGGTTGATAAAATTATTTCAAGATTGATCTTTTTCAACAAAAACTTGACAATAATTCTAAAATAATTTAAAATAATCTAAAATAAAATCTAAAACACGTTCACGAACGGTTATTGCACCTACAGTATTTTTTATTTTTCTTCAATACTTTTGTTAGTTCTATTTTTAAAAAAGTACCGATAATACCGTATTATTATTATATTATTATTATTATTATTATTATTATTATTATTATTATTACTTTATTCTTCATATTGTGTATGTTTTTAATGTCCACGTATAAGACATAATAAAATACTGTTGTCCGATTAAATTAAAAGAAAGAAATGTATAAAAAAATGAATATTAAATTTTTCAAGAAGTGCCGGTTATCGGCGTCCTGACGCAAAAATTCGAACCGTTCAGCGAGCGTGGTACGATAATAAAAATAATTAAAAATAATAATAAATATAACGATCAAGATGATAAAAAAAAAAAAAATAAAACGAAGAAAATATTTTCAAACGCACGCGAAAACACGAGACGTACGTACATATTCTTTTTTTTTATTTTATCGACGATGCACACGCGTAAAAAAAAAATTAAAATAAAAAGAATTAAAAAAGTTCAAGCGAAATATTAAATAATATTCCTATCTATGAATTCCTTAAAAGTATTTTTCAAAACGTTTTTGTAAAACTTGTTGGTCTTTAAAATTTCGTGATAGACGTTAACGTCACCCGTCAATGATCTATTATTCGGATCTGCGTGAAAATGTAAAACGTATACCGCCATGCAAGCAGCGTATCTGCCAAAATGTTTAATATGTTTCAGTAATGTTTCGTACGGAAATAAAACGTTAGGATCGCAATCCAAACTACGAAGACAATTCGAAAAGGAATCGTAATAATCTCTTAAAAGATCATCGTAATGTTTGACTCTCATTTCATGTAATGTGAAACAAAATAAGATATAAGATATATCCAATGCAGGCGATGCGTAACGACAAACTTGAAAGTCGAGGAACCGAAGATCCTCCGGCTCGTTGTTTTTATCGTTTTCCTGAAATATACGGTTAAAACGATAAATGATAAAAAACTAATAAGAACGAACGGGAAAAGAAAAAAAAATAAAGTGATAAAAAACAATAATAGTTATTATATCACGCTTGTTGTTTTTTAAATCGAGGTATAGGAACAAAACTATAAAAACATGGAATTGCGAATGTAGAAAAAAAAAAAGAAAGATGAAAACTCTAATCGTTTTTGATCGAAATTTACAACAACGACACAATCAAGGCAAATTATACGGCACCGATTACACTTCTCTTCTTCACGTATGTACCTAGTTTTTATTTTATTCGATCTATTGTAATATAAATAAAAATGAAAATATGGAAAATGAATTTTCCTAATTAATTATAGGGCGAATATGAATAATTCTTCATTGAAATTTTTTAACTTTTTTGTTTTTTTTTCTTTCCCCCATCACCTCTTATAATTCACGAAAAAAGTCAGCAAAAATGTGACTTTTTGAAATTATTCTTATTTCCACATGTGTTATCCGTAGTAGAAATAAAAATTACATATAAACAAAAAATATTTTACATCTGAGAAATCATTTTAACGATTTGACCGTAAAATTTTACCTTGTATTTAAACAATATATTGTTTGTCCAAGCATCCCCATGATTTACAACAGCGTAAGGTTCGGCGTAAGATCCCTTGACTACCTCCAACGCTATTTTCGACATATTTTTAACAAAATTTTTGTATCTTTTCCGATAATGTTCGTCCTCTTCTTCGAGAACCTAAAGTTAAGAAGAAGAAGAAGTAAAAAAAAACACATGAATCCTCCGATGTTTTTTTCTTTGTCTTTTAATTATTATTATTTTTTTTTTCTTTCGCTCTCTTCATTCTGTACATTTGACAAATCTTTCTAGAAAACAAAAAAAAAAAATAAAAAATAAATAAATTTTTACCTTTTCAATTAAATCGATTAATGCGATCGAATAATCGTCGTCTTCTGTATTTATCGTGATAGGATTTCCAAAATAAAATACGGGCTCCTTTATAGATTTAAATATCTCGAATGTTTCCGGCTTTTTAGCCCTAATTGCAAAACTGTATGCGTGAAATCTTGCGATACAACGGAGAGTCAATCGTGCGTGAGGATAATCGAGAAATTTTAATTCTCTCATGTAATAATTTTGATATTTCAGATCTTCTAGCACTAAAATCTGTAGGTAAAAATTTCATTAAAATAAAACTAACAAAATTGATTGATTTATTTATCAAATTTTCTTTCTCTCTTTATTTCTTTAAGACAAGGTGTAACCAATTTTTTAATTTTCCTGAACCATATTGAAATGAGAACGTATTGTTTCGGGTCATAAATGAAATATACATTAAAACTAAACGATATTTTGATAAGCACAAAATTGTAATATAACATATTAAAATATAATAATTTATATTTCAGTAATTCATGAATTATTTTTTATCATAAAAGTAAAATACAAGAAAGAAATTGAATAGCTTAATTTTTTGTTAGTGAACAACACGTTAAATTCAATAATTCGTTGCTAATAATTATTAATAATATTATTAATGCTACTTTTAATCGTGATCTCATAAAATTTGTAATATTTTTTTTTGTTTTGATTGCATTCATAGCAATTTTGAGTTGCTGTGGGTATGGACAAGCATGTTCTTATTGTTAGATTCGAAAATTGATTTAATTTTTCAAATAAAATAAACGATTAAAATGATTTTCCTCGATTTGTGTATCGATCATGAGAAAATAATCTTCCTTATCTTTTAATGACTTCTCAAACTATACGATAAAATCTATAAGTAATTCTAACGAGACGTTATTCGATTAGATAAAGATTTGTACTTCTCAAACAGATTTCAATTTTTTTTTTCAATCGCGATCGGAAAGGAAATTTTGTTTCGTTTCAAACAATTTTCAAATTTTGTCTAACTTGCAAGTAAAAAGAAAAAAAAAATACTGCCGATCGTACGCATTTCATTTGATCCGACGCAGATCGTATTTCGTAAGAAATTTTTTTTTCAACTTTGATCAACCTTGTAGGAAAGAAAGAAAGAAAGAAAGAAAGAAAAAAAAGGAAAAAAAAAGAAATAAACGTCGATTTTGTTTGTCAACGTTTTTATATTAAGACACGTTTAATAAATCTCGGATAGTTTTGTTCATTGTTTTCAGTGAGAAAGAAAAACCGTATATATTATATATTAAATATAAATATAACATAAAAAAATAACGTAAGGAAAAAAAAGGTGGAACTAAGGTGAAAGTTGCCGAAACGGGAGGATAATAATCGGAGAAAAAGTGTGACCGTACTAATTATAATTAGAAGAGAGAGAAGAATACATTTTTTTTTTTATAAATTATCGTTTAAACAATTCAAATAAATACATATAAAATAAAAAGAAAAGAAAAATAATAATCAAATATTGAAAGTAATACAAATTCGATTCGATAAAGTTAAATGATCTAACGTTTGTGAAATTGTTTAAATTTCAATGATTCATATTATAACGTAATATTATATTTATCGAATAATAATATAATATATATATATATAAGCATACTGATACAATAGGACAAATAAATAAACAAATGTATTATATGATAAATCTTACTTCGTTCAAATGTTCCTTGGAGGAAGCGTAGATATAAGGAATATATTCGAGTGTCATATTGTAATCACGTAGAAAATCGTTAAAAGTTGGCAAAAGTTTTTCGTAAAAGTGTATCTCTTGTAAAAACATCCGTCTTACTTTGATATACTTTCTTCTCGAATCTAATGGTGCACATTTCGCTATCAAATGTATCTTTTTACTTCGTCCATTTTTTTCATCTCCTTGTATCGTTGCACGATAAACGTCTCCGACAAAATTTTCACCAGATTTTACGGCAGGTGTTACGGAAAAACTAATGTTAGTAAAAAATTCTTCATCGGCGATAAGTCTGAGATACTTTTCCATACATTTCACCCCTAAGAATTCATTTTTTTTCTCGTCGAAATGATTATTATGAGACATATTTTTTCTTAAAAAAAGAGAAAGAAAAAAAAAAGAAACGATAAAAAAGAGAAGACAAAAATATATCCGATGAGTAAAATGAAAAATAAAAAAAAGAAAAGAAAAAGGGAAAATAATATTCGCGTGAGTAGAGACAAAAAAGATTACAAGGATAATAAATAAATGTGCGTGAACGAATTAATTAATTAATAAATGAAAAATTAAATTACCCAAATAAAGTGAGCAAAAAAATAAAAATCGAAGATTGACAATTCAAATTTGTGTTCCAACAACGTGTGTATATATATACATATATAATTGAAATATCTTGACGAATAAATTACTGAGGTAATTCTAAGAGAGAAAGTACACTTGCAACGATTATAATCTTTCGAAAAGATGATAATGATGAAGAAGAATAAAGAGGAAAAAGAGGAAATCCTACCCCAGATGTATGGTCAAGCGTAGAAACGACTGGACTCTCTCGTAAGACTTACGAACCGATACTGTCGAAATTCAAAAATGACAACGATACCGTCCTTAGTGACTCTGACGGAAGTTAAACGTTATCGCAAACATTGTTGTTGTACACGAAGAAGAAACTATTTCAAACGAGATAACAATAGTTTAAATAAAATTTACATTTTTCTGTTATGTTAATATATATTGGTTATTGTGTCATTAGAAACAACAATTCAAAATACAAAACAATGTTTCATTTTTCGATCACTATGATGGAATTATATATTTTATATATTTGATTAACACACACATACATACATGGACATTTATTTTTCTTATATTAAATTATACTATCTCTTTTTATATCTTCGTCTTGTGTATTATTTTATTACAATGTTATATATTTATGTTATATATTTATCCTTTTCAGTAAAGCGGAAATAAATTTAATGCATATACTAACGCAATATAACAGTTATGAGTTTTGTTTTTTTGCTCTTACTTTTGTTTTATACATTAAATTTGTTGTTAACAATTATTATGAATCTAGTACGTTATACTAAAGATTAGTGTACGGTCAAGTATTATTAAAAGATAATTTACTTTTGTTATCTGATTTTTCTACTAAATAATATTGATTTTTTTCACGGCTAAACGTATATCAAGAATTATCGTATCATTGGTTTTTCTCTATTTTCGATTGAAATTGAATATCCGACTTTTGTCTTTATTTGAATTACGATTATAATTATTTGTATTGTGTTTTTATTTAATAATCACTAAAAAAAATATGACCTTTGTTAAAATATCGATTAGTGTTGATAAACGCAGATAAATATTTGTTCTAGTTAAACGTATTTTATATTAGAAAAAAAATTTGAAATACGTGGAAATTTTCTAATTATGTTTCGAAATGGGGATTCAATCTCGTTTGATTTATCGTCCCGAGTACTTTGATACTACTATTATAAAAAAGATAGGATCGGTTTGAAATGATCAGGTTGACCGAGATATTGGCATAGTTCGTGCTCTTTTTAGCGATTTGTACTCGATTTTTCAAACTCGCATAGTTTGTCGTCTAAGATATCGTCATTCGTAACAAAAATCGTAACTTTGTATTTATACAACGTTTTTTGTTCAAAATTAATTATCATAACAAATGGCAAACATGGAAAAACAATTCTTAAAATTAAAAAAATTTACAATGATTTACGCAATGAATTCTTATAATTGCAATAATTGTTCGTTTTTGGTGATCAAGGATTTATTTGGAAGATAAAAGATTTCTATATAAATTTCTAATTTTTAAGAAAATATTATGTTCTTTGGAAAAATCGTGTCTGAAGAAAAAGTAATTTCCATGAGTAATATTCGTTTCATAGACAAGTAATATTTTTTATTATTCTTCAAGAAATCGCATACAAGTTATAAGTTCATATATAGAAACATTAATTATACCTACGTATTAGAATTTTAATCTATGCGGGTATTGACTGCTTCGCAAACCAAACATAGCTGACAAATAGGTAAACAATAATTTTTTGTTTTGATTTTGTTTAATTTTGTCAATAATAACTTTGTCTACAACTTTCTGATCATTTTTCCTTTGATCGTTGGGCTTGTATTCCTCGGTCTTTTTACTGAAAATATCACCCTCTTCTTTCTTTGCACGTTTGTCACGTTTCCTTTTGAAATATTCATCATTTATATGTTCAGGCAATTTGAATCCGGTAAGATTAATGCGTGTAGAAGTTGCTATGACATAGTTCTGATTTATTCTACGCATTGGGCAACCGTTAATGAGGAATGGACCTAATGTAAAAGGAATTAAATATATTTATCGAGTCTTATAAGAAAATAATTAAATTAAAATATACATATGACTGATCATCTGCGTAAATTGTAATTAATATAATTAGTAAGAATACGATATCGAAACCAACCTGTAACTAAGAGTAACCCGCTTTTAAGCTGTTTTAAGAATACAACACGTTTTCCTTTGTGCGAGCCAGCTAACAAAATGCAAATAGTTCCTGGAACTAAAGAAGGTCTTAAATATCTATGATGTTCACGGAAATATTTCTTAGCGTGTTTTTTAGTGATAGGATCCGCTGTAGGATAATAAGCCCTTCTCTTTTTCAACAGGACAACCCGCTTTTCTCCATTTTTATCACCACCTATTTCTTTTTCAACGGTCAATGGTCTTTTAGCTTTCGCCTATCAAATAAGATTCGCATAAAATTCTTTATGATGTATTATAAATAGAAATTATATGTATTAAATATTATGTGTATATATCACTCACAACTTTAGGTGTTTTTTTATCAATAAACTTGTAAATGGCTTTTTTGTGATACATGCGTGACCGACTAAATCTGTATACACCATTTCCTAGATCATAATTTCTAGGCTTTCCAGATTTCTTTTTTTCTTCTTTTTTAACCAAATCAGCTGCAGGCACAGCTTTTTCCGGCGATTCTGTTTTTGTATCCGACATCTGTTATGAAAACAATGAAAATCTTTACAAACATGTTACTTTAATCACCGTTTATAAGATTATATTAGATAAAATTTAATTACGCATTGCATTTGTAAGAAAATATTACCGATATAAAATCAATCTTAACGATTAAAATAATTATTTATATTTGAAACGAATAACTTTAGGTGCTTAATTTATAATTAAATAGAAAATCTGAAATAAAAGGGTTAGAAACATACTATCACGACTATCTTATAAAGCTTTGTCAAATTTTTAAAAAATTCTCTCGAAATCGAAAAATATGTTCTAGAATATCTTAAATAAACATAAAAGATCAATTATTAAAAGACACTTACTTTATAATTATAATACTTCTTGAATATTTTTCGACCGTTTGCTTAGATATAATCCAATGATTAAAAGAGGTTACGACACGACTCCATCTATCGGATTTTTAATAAACGAAAAACTTAAATATCGATACCTAGCTATATCGATATATATATCGAAAGTAAAATGAGTGGGAAAAATATTATGTTTGATCTATAATGTGAAACATTATTAATTAACGTATTTAAAAAAACCATGTATATGTATATATATATATATATTTATATATGATTTTTATATAATGTCCAAGATTTTTACCGCAAAATTTCATCAACATATTCTATGAGTAAAAATAAGAAAGAAAATGTTATATATAAACGCGAGCATTTAAATATTTATTAAGAAGTTTCGAGCCTACGTCGAAAAATAAAAGTGAGTTTGATCGAATAATGTTTCTATATTAGAGACTCAAAAATTTTTAACCCACTCACGTATATAAGAAATTGATATTTATTATTTATATATTATGTACGAGATGAATTAAATGCGATTAAAAAGTTAAAATTTGGACGTTACACAGGTTTATGCAATATTACGTTAATTTCTTCAAACCGGATTCATTTGTGTCCCTTTCTTATTTCTTTTCTCAATTCGATCTGGTTCATTCGAACGTACCAGTCAAGGATCACAATGAACAGCCAGATCAAGGTAATCCTTCGATCTCGAGACTGACCTTGCAAACGATCGAATCGATCATTTTTCTTAGCTCGTGTTCCGAAATTAAAAAAGAAAAAGAAGAAAAAACAAGGAATTAAAAATAGAGCAAAAGAAAAAATAATATAATCTTTGTGTTATCATGTAATAATATATTTCTATTTAATTTTCTTCGAGATATAAGTTTTATTAAATAAATAGCATTGCCGATGTCTTTTCCTTTTTCTTTCTTTAAACGAGTACAGATAGTTTCAATATTTCAACATTTTCGTCTATGTATTTTTTCTTAAAAAATAAAAAGGAGTTTCAAAAAAATAATTTGAATATTAAATATCATCAAAATCCATTGAAAGTTGTTTCCCAGTTATCCCCGTTATTCGCGATAATATATAATATATTTATATACATATACCTACACGCATAAGTAAAGACTAGTTGCATATTTTATCGTGCGTAACACATAAAAGGTTAAATCCGTTTTCCTTCGATGATTTTACGATCTGATTGTCAGAAAATTAAAACAGTTTTACTTAAATACACAGTAATATAGTCAATCTTTAAAGTAGTACGTTTTTAAAATAAATAAATTGACATAACAACAACAACAACACCTTTAAATTAAAAAGTCTAAATTTTTAACTTATTATCAATAAAAATGAGAAAAATAAGACATTAAATTATTATAATATAATCTATATTAAAATATTATATTTGTAAATTTTCTAATTAATTTCCTCGAAGAGTTCACAAAAATGAATAATTTAGGAATAACGAGCAGAAAAAAATGGTTTCTGTTATCTCGATTCGTTTTAAAAACTTATTATTAGTGTCGTGTCCTAGAAGAGAATGTCCAAACGAAACGAAACGAGAAAACAAAGCCATCGTGTGCCGAGAGATCTTTATCGGACGCATTGGATAAGCCTTTTAATGATTTCCTTTAGGACAAGAACAACCCCACCATGACTACGAGTATTATGGCCTTGTACATTCTAACCGTATGTGGAACACATCACCTATGTAAATACTTTAATGCAAGTACGCGATGACTGACATTTCCGAAGATGTAATTAACGGGAGTTTGTAATTAAGAAAATTCTTCGTCAATTGTATATATCATAAGAATGTTCAACGTGTTGGATAAATCAAGGATATAGAGAGAAAAAAACAAGTGTATATATATTTCTTCTACTTATAGAATCCCACGGTACGACACCTATATGGGTCAGTAGTTCATATGAGGCTTTTTGATGTTAATCTCGGTCAAGATTACATTTTTACAATATTAACTTATGATATTTGAAAGATTAGTAACGCTTATGCGAACGAATTTAGTAATAAAAGGATAACCATATAGACGTGTACTTATTGTTAGAGAAGGATAATGAGAAACAGAGATAGGAGAAAGAAAGTGGGATGCCAGATTTGATTTACAAGAGGATTTATTTAGATTTAGCCCCTGAAAAAAATTTACTTTTGAATACTTACTATAAAAAGATAAATACCAATTACTTGTACATAGTACCAATTCAACTGATCAATATTAAAAATTAAAATATCATGTAAACTAATAATTTTACGTTATTCAAAATGTTTAATACATTTACATAGGTAATACAAACTTGCATTAACTGTGATGCATTATTAAATATATAATTTTCTTAAAAAAAAAAAAAATCAAAGTCGACCCCTTTGCGCGTCCACTTATGTTAGCAAAAAAAAACCAAACCAATAGCATCGTACTATAAGCGTTTCCTCAAAACCATTCTCAACTAATTGTCTAATATATTTTTCTACTATCGTCAACAATTTCTAAAATATTTAAGTGGATCTAATTAAATGAGACACACCCTGTATATGTGTGTAACATGTGTAGAATATATATATAGATATATATTTGTATAACTCTTGAACGGGTAAGAAGGTTGGTCACCTTTGGTAATAACTGAGAAGAAAGGTAGTTCGTGACGAAAGGCTGCACCGACGTCGTGCCCGTCGGCTGGTCAAACCTAACGAGAGAAGAAAAAAAGAAAAAAAAAGAAAGAAAGAGAGAGAGAGAGAAATGAGAGTGAGACGGGAGTGGACGTTGTAAATGGGGAAAGAGTTGGGTTCGATCGTGGTAAGCATTTCACTAATTAAAGTTCCGTTGCGCCTTGTCGAAGCACCGAACGAACGAACGAACGAACGTTTCTTTCCTTTCCTCGTTTATTCACTTCCTTACGTTACAATACAATGTATCCTTTTTTTTTTTTATTTTTCTCAATCAAGATATTATATTACTTATTTTGTGATTTCCTCGAGAATTGTGATCGATGAATTTAAACAAAACAAAAATTATTTATTATTTCGATTGATTTTTAGCACGTTGACGTTTACAATTTTACGCTTTTTTTTTATATGTCGACGAAATAACAAAAAGAGGGTCTCCCATTTTTTTTTGTTTATATATAAAATTACCAATCGTGCATTTATCATGTTAATAAAGAAGAAAAATAAATGAGAAAATAAAATGAGAAAATTATATTTAAAACAAATTCTATATTCGCAATTTTCTAACGATATTAAATTTTGTTTTATAGAAAATATATATATATATATATATGTATGTATAGAATAATAATAATAATAATTGATTAAACGAAAGTTAAGTAATGCTCGACAGTACGTATGTGCATGTAACTCCAACGACGATGTTTACGTTAACGGGAAAGTAGAACGTGTTCTGTGTGTTTCATTATTATTTTTTTAAAATTACGATTCATTGAAAAATAAATCAACAGGATTTGTAAGAAGGTCGTGCAAAAGTTATACGAGGAACACTCGATTGCAAATTGCTAGCTAAGTGATCCATATGCAATTGTCGTTAATACGTTAATGTATTTATATATAAATACATACATACATACATACATAGGATTAATACGCGTGACTGGAATAATTTGCAAGATATTTGCATAAAATCGATTAAGAAAATTAACGAAAAGAAAAAAGAAAACAAGAAGAATAATAATAAAAAAGAAAACAAGAAAACAAGAAGAATAATAATAAAAAAGAAAAAAGGCAAATAAGAAAAAGAAAAAAAAAGAAAATAGAAAATGAAAGCATCTGGAACGATGATGATTATGAACAATACCAAGAAATGATTATTATCGTCCAATCAAACGATCCAGATTAGATAAATGTTAGATGGAAAGACAAAGATAATGAAAATAATGATACTAAGAATCGTTCTTCAGTTCCATTAAACGTCGTGTCATCTTTGTCATCATCGTTGTCATCATTGTGTTGTAGTACATCATCATTGTTCCTAAGAATCGTTTGGCCTTATTCTTATGCGGTCATGCAAATGAGAATGTTGAAAGATTTATCTTAAAGGATAATTCTTTCTTTGTTAGTTGGAGGGGGCGGGTAATACTCCCCATGTTGATGTTGATAAATTAAAAATTATTTTCGAATAAATATCGTAATAAATACAATTCTCTAGAACACACAATGTTGAATAAATTTAATCAATTTTTTTCACAAACTTTTACCTTCGTATATTATAATACAACGCGTTAGGGAAGAAGCCTTGAAAAATTGACGAGAATGATCGAGAGGTCGATGTGTTAATGAATTAAAAATTATTCGAAAAAATAAAAAAAGAAAAACACACACACACAATTAATATATAGAACAACGTTTGAATAGTTTAATGAATGTTCTCAAATACTTTTATTTCATCGAATTTAATCGATTTAACAAACCGACAATGGCTTCGTATATTATGATATAACGTTCAGGAAGTTGTTTGATCGGTTTTCGAAGCTTTGAGAAACTGTGAGAACTGTGATATCACGGTCGGAGCATTCGTTAAAGAAAAACTTGTTTTGAGTATAAAACCAAGCACATCTCTTACATTTTTCTCTTACTCTTACTCTTACTCTTAACTCTTAACTCTTACTCACTTTATGGGGGGTTACTTGTTGCTAACGTTTAATCATTCTTTTTTCTTTTTTTTCTTTAAAACGTCGATTATGGTACTGTCTCATGGTAACTCGATTCTAACGATATATATATCGTCTATATTCCTTTTGAAGACAAATTTCTTGAACAAAATCGACCTTTCTCTCTCTCTCTCTCTCTTTCTTTTTCTCAAGGAACAACATACTCGGTTTTTCTACGAAAACAGTTTTCAACAGTCAACAACAGTTCGAATACTCTCTTTAAGTTTTCTCAAGCATTCTTTTTCTTTTTCTTTTTCTCTCTCTCTCTCTCTCTCTCTCGTTGATTTGGTTGTTTTTGTTCTCGAACTCTCTTCCTCTATTTTAAACCAATTCTTCAGAGTTTTGCGTAAGCAGAGGCGGTATCCCTTTCGGGATTCGCATTAAATCAAGGATACAAGAAGTGCATTTGCAGTAGACG